AAACTGTAGGCATCTGAATCCTCTCCCAGATGGGTTTCAGCTGAGCAGGGTTGTCTCACCATCACCTCCAAGTTTTTGGGTTTCACAGGATCAGCAGCTGGGCCCTGGGTTGTCCTCAGACGGAGTGTTCAGATTCGTTCTGGTTCTGACCCATGGAGATAGCTTCTTCCCCAGGTGTTGGGGTTAGGGGCATCCCTGTTCCAAGCTGTATCTGCTTGTCTCCATCCCTGGGCCTGTCTACCTCTGCGGTCTGCCACTGGGCCTGTATGTCCCTGTCATCTGCCACTGGGTCTGTCTGCCTCTGCGGACCGCCACCGGGCCTGTATGTCTCTGCTGGCTGCTGCTGCCGGGCCCGTCTAACTCTGTGGGCCGCCGCTGGGCCTGTCTACCTCCGTGGGCCACTGCTGCAGGCCTACCTGCGTCTGCTTGTCTCTGCTGCTGGGCCTGTCTACCTCTGTGAGCTGCCTCTGGGCCTGAATGTTTTTGCCGGCTGCCGCCAGGCCTGAATGTCCCTGTTGGCTGCCGCAGCCACCGGGCTTGTCTACCTCTGTGGGGCGCCTCCGCGGGCCTACCTGTGTCTGCAGTCTAACTTTTTGATCAAGCAAAACAGAATACTTTGTTTCCTCTACCTTTCAATATCACCTGACCCCATAGGTAAAGCCAGGTTAATTTCTGGTTCCCTGGTTATTTTTGTTTATTTGTTTCCACACAAGGATTCTCTGTTAGCCCTAGGTTTTCTGGAACACTTTCAGGAGACCATGCTGACCTCAATGTCAGAGATCCAGCTGCATCTGCCTCCCAAGTACTGAGATTAATGGTGGACACCACCACACTCCACAGAAGTTGCTTTCCATAAATATATGTTTAATAGAATATACAGATTTGGATGTCTCAGGACAACTTCTTCTGGAACATCATGTTTAAGTTATCCTCACATGTTTGAGAAAGACTGCAGGTGAGAACTGATCTCCTGAGGGTCCATACTCCTCCCTCAGCTGTTTCCTTTGCTCTCTAGGTGCTGCCAGACTCATGACCACTGCTATGACCAGGTCAAGAAGTTGGAAAGCTGCAAATTCCTCATAAGGAACCCCTGCACCAGTGCCTACTCATTCTTGTGCTCTGGAAATCACTGCAGTGGTAGGGTTACACTTCAGTACATTTGGACTCTGGATAGGTTTGGAAGGGCACAGAAGTAATGAGGACAGGCATCATTTACTGGTCATTTCCTTGGTCTTGTTTAACCTTATAACAGCCTTATCAGCTAGATACTAAATTATTGATGAGGTCACTGATGAGGAAGAGGAGGAAGGCAGGGTCACTTTCTCAAGGTCACCCAGCTTAGAAGAGATGACATTTGGATCTGGAACACAGATCTACATCATTCCAAAGCCTTTGTTTAAAAACATTTCAATATTTTATGTATTTCTGGGGAAAGTATGTCTCTGCCACAACATAGTTGCGGAGGTCTATGGACAATTTGCAGAAGTCAGTTCTCTCCTTCAATCACACGACTCCTGGGGATAGAACTTGGGTTCAGATTGGCAACAAGGGTGTTTATTCTCTGAGCCATCTTGCCTGCCCAAAGCCTCTCCTCCTAGCTGCTGTTTTATACTTCTTCCATATTGACTAAACAATTGAGAGCTGCATCACTGGCTTTAAGTCAGATACTGGAGTAAACACCTGTGCAGGGCAAGATTTATCATTCCCATTTTACAGGTGAGGATTCAGAGGGCTGGGGATATAGTTTACTTGCTAGAGTGCTTGCCTAGCATGCACAGAGCCCTGGGTTCCACCTCTAGTACCCATGAATCGAGTGTGATGGTACACACCTGAAAACCTGCACTTGGAAGGTGGAGGCAGGAGCATTGTCTTAAATAATATAATTTTAGAAGTGATAGTTGATATTTGTATCTTTCTAGATTTTAGGATTAAATATCTGTTTATTTATTTTTATGTGTAGGAATGAGTTTGCACCCCATGTCTTCTTCAGTCACTGTCCACCATGTCTTTAGAGCCTGGGTCTCACACTAAACATGACACTCACCTTTAGCCAGCCTGACTGACCAACAAGTTTTGGGCATACATGCTCCCTACTGCCCAATAGAGTTACAGATGCTCCAAGCACATCTTGCTTTTACAAGGTCTCTGGGCATCCTAGGTCAGGCCTGCATGTGCTTTTGGCAACCGCTTTACCAACTGAGCCGTGGGAGCCCACAAAAGTTTCCCAGTTTGATCTGGTCTTGCTTTACACAGCAGGGCTGCATTAGGTGATGGCTGGACCACGTGTATGGTCACCAGGTGTCTGAGCTGGTCTGCACTTGGCTGTGCTGAGGGGAGGTCTTTTGCTCCACCCCTTGGCATTCCTTTAAAAGCCTTTGGTAGAGACAATCTGGGCCCGATGGATTAGGATCTAGGTCCTCCCGAGTCTATCCTGTGTTTTCTGTCTGTCTCTCTCTAGCTATCTTTCTATCTAATATTTCCTGTTGCTCCTTCTCAAGAGTACCCTGTGGAAAAGTCGGGGTGAGATGGCCCCCATACTGAGACATCTCTCCAACACACAACAAATGTTTTTTTTATGTGTTCCAACCATTTGGGCACCCAATGCATTTTTGTGTCTTTGACTCTCAACCCTGAGTGTGCACAAATGGCAGGGCTGCTACTCTCTTTTGGTTACAAATCGTAGGGTGCATGATGATGAGCCACATGCAACTTTGTTTCTTGTTTCTCTGCAGACAAAACAACCCCTGTGAGGACTTCATCTGTAACTGTGACCACCAGGCTGACATCTGCTTCTACAACACTCCATACACCAGGGATTACAAAAGCATTCACTGTTAGACTTGTCACCTCAGTGACTGGCACAACTTCCCTGCCTGCCTGGTTCTGTTCACTACACACTGTGACCTCTATAAAGCACCTATAGAAAAGAACTCGGCTTTGGAGGTTGTATTTCTGTCTACCAAACATTTCTAGATCCCCAGAGTACTTCGTACCATCTAGCCCTGGAAACTGAAGATGAATGGAAAAGACATTGCCATTTGGAGAGCACCTTGAAGAGTAGTTGATGAGCCTGGCCATGCCTTTTATCCCAGCACTCTGTGTTGGAGAGGAAGAGACAGAAGCCGAGGCAGAGGCAGGCAGATCTCTTGAGTTCAAGTCCAGCCAGGTTTAAAAGTCGAGATCCACAGAAAGGAGGAAGAGAAGAGGTGGAGGAGAAGGGGACAGAAAGAGAAGGGTTTGGACAGCTGAGGCAGGGAAAAGGACAGGAAGAGTAGAATGGGGTGGGAGGGAAAGAGAAGACAGAGATATAGGAGGGGAGAGAAGAGAGAAAGAAGAGGTGTCACGTTGGCACTAAAGGAACAACTTGTTCCCAAAAATACTGGACTCAAAGCACTTCTGCTGTGCACTCATCACAGGAAGTTGGATAAAGGAATCCAAATTGGACTGACTGTAAATGTCCTGAAGGCAGGATTACATCCTGGTGACTTTCCAATCTTGACTGTGCCTAAACACATGCCATAGGATAGTTGTCCCTCTAAAGTACACAGTAGAATAAGTTTTTTAACAAACAAAACAGAACACATTGTCTTCTCTAACTTTATCACAGGACCCTATAGGTAAAGAGAGGTTAATCTCTGGTTTCCTGGTCAACCAGATTTAGGAAAAAATTTCTCATTAGTTAAAGGCTGTGTCATCTCGGTCTCTTTTTTTTCCTTTAGTGAACAGCTGCCCAGTCCTCTGCCTTCCCACCCCAACCTCATTCACACTCTTGCCCAAATGTCAAGTCTCACCCCTCTCAAGGTCAGTTCTGATGAGTAATAGGTACAGCTAGAGCCACCTGGGCAGGCACAGGGACCTGTAGTAGCTGGTAGTGAGTGTCCAGGGTCCTGCTAGAAGGATCAGAGATCTTGAGCGTGGAGACAAGCAACTCAACTTATCACCTAGTGGTTGTTATCCAGGTAAGAATTCAGAAGTGGGGATGAGGAGGTGCTGGGGTGCTAAGTTAGAGGCTACATGACAGATGGCCATTCACAGAAGCCATAGAGCATTGGGCCAGCAGACACTGTTCACTAGCCACCATATGGGTGCTGAGAATTGAACCCATTCCTCAGGCAGAGCAGAAAGTGCTCTTAAGTGCTGAGCCATCTCTCCAGCCCCTGCAATGGTTGATTGTCAGCTTCACACACTGGGTCGGGAGAGCCTCAGCTGAAGGATTAGCTGCAGCATATTGGCCTGTGGGCACATCTGTTGATCATTTATTTTCTTTCTTTCTTTTTCATTTTTTAGATGTTGGTTTCTTTTTCTTTCTTTTTTAAATTAATAACAATTTTTCATTCATTTTACACACCAAAGATCCCCTTCTTCCTTCCACCGCTCCCTCCAGCCTTCCCCAAAACCCACCCAACACAGGAAGACAAGGCCTCCCATGAGGAGGCACATCCAGTAGAGGCAAGTCCAAGCCCTTCCCCGGCCTCAAGGCTGCACTAGGTTCCCATAAAGGGTATTGGACTCCCAAAAGCCTGTTCAAGCACCTGGGTTGGATTCTGATTCTACCACCAGGGGGCGCCCCTAGCACACCAAGCTACACAATTGTCTTAACCATGCAGAAGGCCTAGTTCAGTCCCATGCAGGCTTCACAGTCTTTGATCCAACTTTCATGAGTTCACACTAGTTTGGTTTGGCTGTCTCTGCAGGATCTGCATCATGATCCTGATGCACTTGCTCATAGAATCCCTCCTTTCTCTCTCCTACTGGACTCCTGGAGCTCTGCCTGATGTTTGGCTGTGGATCTCTGCATCTGTTTCTATCAGTCATTGGAGAAAAGTTCTGTGATGACAGTCATGGTATTCACTGATCTGATCACTGGGGCAAGCAAGTTAAGTTCAGGCACCCTCTCCACTATTTCTAGTATTCCAAGCTGGAGTCATCCTTGGGGATTCCTGGCAATTTCCCTCGTTTTTTGAGATACGGTTTCTGAGTATATCTCTGGATGTCCTGGAACTCACTTTGTAGACCTGGCTGGCCTCAAACTCAGGTATTCGCCTGCCTCTGCTTTTGAATGGTGACATTAAAGGTTTGCACCACCACCACCTGCTACATTCCTGGTTCTTTTTTTTTTTAAATATTTATTTATTTATTATGTATACGGAAGAGGGTGCCAGATCTCATTACAGATGGTTGTGAGCCACCATGTGGGTGCTGGGAATTGAACTCAGGACCTCTGGAAGAGCAGTCGGTGCTCTTAACCTCTGAACCATCTCTCCAGCCCCCATTCCTGGTTCTTAAATGGAGTTTGAAGTCTGGTAAAATGCAGCATATGATGCAAGCCTGTAGACCTGAGTAGAAGGAGAGACCTGACTCCATAGAGATGTCTTCTGCCCTCCACATGTGAAGACAAGGGCTCTCTCTCTCTCTCTCTCTCTCTCTCTCTCTCTCTCTCTCTCTCTCT